TTTTCCAGTCGAGGCCATTCTGGGATTCTGTACAACACTATGGTGTTTGGTCTGTAAGCTGTAACTACTGTTCATCAGGTGAGATGAATCCCACATCCACCATCTGCATAAATTGCCAGAATTGATGTTTCCATCAGTCTTAATTAGTTTCTCAGGTGGTTCAAGGAAAGGGTGAGGGGCAAGCGAGTGTTTTCTGCAACCCCCTGTCTCCGTTGGTACCCCTGCCCTTCGCATCCTTGAGCAGGGCTGGGTGCACAGCAATGACTACACTATGCTAACTGAATTTTGGGTTAATTGGGTCACCTCTCACTACAGCTGCCTTATTTACCAGCCCAGTTTTTCTTGGTGTTACAAATCCCTATGCGTATCCATGTCTGTGTATGTGTGTATATATACATGTATGTAAATATATGTGTGTATATATATTTGTCTGTGCATATTTATTTATTTAACTACTTTAAGTGATGCTCACTAGTCTTGTAAAGAACTTTTCTCACAAAAGTTTCCTCATTTTCAACACCTGTACTGCTACAAATTCAAATATAATTCAGTGCTCTGTAAAAAGTACAGGAATGGATGTGGTCGCAAGAGTGTGATGGATCCCTGAGTACGTTGGATCTCATGGAAAAACAAAACCTTCATACACCCAGTGTCTGGACACTGCTGAGAATTTGGATGTGGAGGATGATACATCACAGTCTGAAGATCATTGAGGGGACAAAGCAGTGGCTTCCTTTGATTACCTACTTTTTAATACTCAGCTTAGAAACACGGATTCAAACTTTTTTTTTTTTGGGGGGGGAGAGGGAAACAAAACCAAAACCTACACCTGTCATTTGTCTTTTAGTTTTCTAAGCAAAGCTAGATTAAGAAGTAGAAGCAGCTGGAATGTGATAAAACATGGAGAAACAACAATTTTTGTAAATTATTTGTTGTTGTTTTGGTTTATGGTTTGTTTTGGTTTTGTTGTGGTTTTTTTTTTTCAGTTGGGCCTGTAGAATTTATAATAAAAATATAAATGCTATTTGACTTGATTAGCATACGACAGATATTAATGCTTTTGATTTTTAAAAATGGCCCGGCCAATCGATGCAATATTGGTATAAAGCTTTGCCAGTAACATCAGTTGTCACCTCCCACATTTGCCAATAGCAGACAGTACCTTTCTCAGAGTGTGGACTGTTGCAGGCAAAGGTCTGTTAATGATTCTGTTGATAATCGTATCAAGACCTGTGTTGAATGAGTTCTTGCCTGTGGGATTAGCAGCAGCACGTGTTCACATAATAGTGTGTTTATTTATCGTTTAGTGTGCCTAAAATATTTTTACTCTGGTTTTTTGTTTGTTTGTTTGTTTGTTTGTTTTTACTCTAATGTGTACAGTGGTACCTGACAGAGAACATACTGGTTTTCAATGGTCTTGTTCCAGGTATTTGTGTGTATTTTTTTATAATTAGAGACTGTGCTTTTTGAAAACACTGCTTTAAACATCACATGAATGATTAAAAAAAACCCCTACATGGCATGTAAGTAATTATCAGCCTAATATTGAAAAGATAGATATTATTTAAGTAAGAAAAAAAAGGAGGGGGGGAGGTTAAATACTTTAACAGAGGCTCTTCATGCTGCTTTCTCCTCCAGCTCTGTCAGTCCCTTGGTGCTGGTCTCTCCTCTGGTGCAGATGAGCTCTGGCAGCGACCCGCTGTTGTGATGTTGGTCCTTTTTCCGAGGGCAGAAGCAGCAGAATCCTGCCCTGCAAACATCCCCTGTGCAGGGTCAGACATCGTTCTGCTCAACCACCTTTGTCTGCCTGCGCTGGCCTGGCTGCACCGTGTTGTCTCTGCAGACACGTCAGCTCGCTCTGCCCGGTGCCTGTGCTCTGCTCCTGCCGACTGACATCAGGATGCGATGGCCGTGACCCATCGGCTGGACACTCGCCTTAGTCCTCGAGTTCACCTACATCTGCTGAGTAACACAGCCACCAGTGTCGGGGCTGCTGCTACTGCTCCTGCTGCTGGTACTGTTCCTGTTCATACTACTACTGCTCCTACTACTGGTACTGCTCCTGCTGCTGGTACTCCTACTGCTCATATTACTACTGCTTCTACCACTCCTATTGCTACCACTGGTACCTCGCCTGCTGGTACTGCTCCAACTGCTACTGCTGCTCCTACTGCTATTGCTCCTACTGCTGGTACTGCTACTGCTGGTACTGCTACTGCTGGTACTGCTCCTGCTGCTGGTACTACTCCTACTGCTCATACTACTACTGGTGCTACCACTCCTACTGCTATCACTGGTACCTCTCCTGCTGGTCCTGCTCCAACTGCTACTACTGTCCTACTGCTGTTGCTCATCCTGCTACCACTCCTACTGCTGGTACTCCTACTGCTCATACTACTGCTGGTGCTACCACTCCTATTGCTACCACTGGTACCTCTACTGCTGCTGGTGCTTCAACTGCTACTTTTTTGCTCCTACTGCCACTACTCCCACCACTCGTAGTGCTCATACTGCTCCTGCTGCTCCTGCTGGTACTGCTGGTACTGCTACTGCCAGCCCTGCCACCACTGCTCCTCCTGCTCCCGCTGCTGCTGCAGCTCTGGCGTAGGGCTGCAGTCCATCGCCCGGAACACCGAGTTAGCCAGACTGGCTGCAGCTGAGACAACGCCACAAGAGCCCCAGAGATCACAGCAGCAGCAGCAGCAGCAGCGAGGCTGAGGGTGGAGACCAAGGAATAAAAAGCCGAGCCGGCTGGGGATTTGTAATGCAAGCGGCGTTTCCAGGTTTCTTTTCCACTTTGCTCTCATCCTGCCCTTGGATTTGAGATCATGTATGTGTTTTGCTGTTGATTATGGGGGGGGGGGGGGGGTTAAAATTTGATTGGGGGGGGGGGGAGTGTTAAAATCTAGAGAGGGAAGAGGATTCAGAAGGATTAATATGTCAGTTTTGATTTAAGGGGATTTTTGTGTGTGTGTGTGTGTGTGTGTGTGTGTGTTATCCCTGCCCTTCATCTTTGTGAACACAGCTTTGTCTTTTATTGTTTTTATTTTAGGTCGGTTAATATTGTAGCCTTTGGGAATGAGAGAGATGGGTTTTCCGAGGACAATCAGCAGCCGAGCCTGATGTGGAGCTATCTCAGGAGAAGTGCTCTCATTTCCCAGATTGACAACAGCTTGTCTGCCAGTCACACCGGAAACCCGGTTTTTACCGATTATCAAGCCTGCGTGTTTGCAAATGTCAGCCTGATGGTACGCGACTGTCCCGTCTGGGTAAGAGATCCGTCTCAGTCATCTTTTTAACAGGATTTAACAGTATTAGCTGTTTTAATCAAAGGAAAACATATCCTAATTTCAAATTATTTTCATTCTTGTGTGATTTTATTAATATTTTAATTATTGCGAATAGTAAAAGCATCTAAAATGTAACCAAGGCAAATGCTGCGAAGTCTCGAAGGCGTGTGAGAAAGTTTCTCGTTAACAATGTGCTGCTCTCCTCCTCTGTAGGGAGGTGATATTTTCAAGTGTGCTAATAGTGAAAACTTAATTGAAGATAATCCAGAGGTAAACAAGAACCTCTTTTTTTAGTGACATGTCATCACAAACACTCTCTCCAAATTTTTACCAACATCAAAACTAAACTTTGTTTTTTTTTTCCTGTAGAAATGATAAGACAGTTAGTTTTCCAGCTTTGAAAAATGACAGATTATAAGATTTGATATCTTGCAAAATAGAGTACAAATAGTCGTTTTACTTTTGTTATAAAGAATAATCACATCTTAACATTATCTCCTTTATTTGAAAGTAAATAAAAAGGATTTTGGCACTGTTCCAGGTTGTCAGCACTTTCGTTAGTAAGTGAGATAACTTAGTTATGAGTATGAGCAGATCAGTGATTATGTAAGAAATGATACTGATAATCTATATTAAAACATATTTAATGACTACTTAGTAGCCTTAAAAAAATTAAGCTTAGCAGCTTTTAGAAATTAAAACAATAATTAGTTTCAGCTCTGTAATTCTATCCGTTGATTGATTTTTGCAGTCCTGTAAAAGAAACTGGTTTTGGTGGGTTGTTTTTTTTTTGAATCTTCAGGAATCCTAACAGTTCCAGAAATACAGGAGCAGAAGTTTGTAATCTTAAAACTGAATGGTCCAGTTTAGTGATCAACCTGTTCTCTATTTCTCAAGCTTTCCTGTCAGCTGCACTCACATTTCAGATGGATGGATGATGTGGGGGGGGGATCCTGTTTTGAGGCTGCACGTGACCCGCACGTGGGATGTGCGTGAGTCTTTGGAGCGCAGCAAGGAGTGAAAGCTCCTGAATGTCAATGAAGGCCGTGGGACTTCAAAGGGTGTTTCAGGAGAGTGGAGGTTGGTAAGGGAGGTGGGAAGGCAGGCAGGGATAGCTGGAAAAGGGCAAAGAAAGGACCTACGTCGGAGACACAGTTCACGTGGTTTTTATGCTGTTTTATTTGCATTTGCTTCTCTACACAACAAGGTTCTTCAGTTCTGGAGACCTTATAATTTTTGTGCTTGGAAAACCACCTTGTTACTGGTGGGAGCGTTACTTCTCTTGTTGTTGTTGTTGTTGTTTTTTCTATATCTCAGCTAAAGCAGGCAGGTGATTTATTACTGGGAATGACGAGGAAAGCCTGTCATTTTTCACCTGGTAGAAGACATCTCAGATAGCTGTCATACTCTGCAGGATGTTATTTGTTTTAAGTGAAGCTGTCTCCTTGCTAGGGTTAGGCAGAACAGGATTGTTTTCCATAGTCTGGATGCTTGAGGTTTGCCACATCATAGCAGTCCTTTCAGGACTGTTCCTCTGGTAGCCTGGGGAAACGGCCCAGGACAATTTAGAACATTGACTGACATTGCCTCGAGTCATATTCTTAATGGAAAAGGATTCTAATTGCACGTTACTAAAATACAGAGGTGGTGGTATGGTGGGCCTTGCATTAGTTCCATCTCTATCGTCTGAGCATAATGTAAAGGCAGATTTGCATTTTACCTGAGACCTGTATCTCATCTAGATTAAATCCATACGACTAAGGCAAGCCAGTCTCAGATATGAACTTGTCAACTGGTCACAGAATCATTAAGGTTGGAAAATACCTCTAAGATCATCCAGTCCAACTCATCAGCACCATGCCCACTAGCCCATATCCCTAAGTGCTACATCTGCACACTTACTGAACACCTCCAGGGGCAGTGACTCCACCACTGCCCTGGGTCAGCCTGTTCCAGTGTCTGACCACTCTTTTGGAGAATAAGTTTTTCCTAATATCCAACACAAACCTCTCCTGGTGCAACTTGAAGCCTTTACCTCTCATCCTATTGCTGGTTACCTGGGAGAAGAGACCAACCCCCACCTCTCTCCACCCTCCTCCAAGGGACTTGCACAGAGCCACAAGGTCTCCCCTCAGCCTCCTTTTCTCCAGGCTCAACACCCCCAGTTCCCTCAGCCACAAGGGAACTCAGCACACTTGTGCTCCAGACCCTTCCCCAGCTCCGTTGCCCTTCTCTGGACACGCTCCAGCACCTCCATGTCCTTCTTGGAGTGAGGGGCCCAAAAGAGAACACAGTACTCACTGTGACTCTCCAAACTCAAGAGTACCCCACTGCCCTTTGTCCTCCAGCTACCAGTCTGGAAAAGCAGCGTGGATGCAAGTTTGCCAAGAAGAGCTCCCCAGTGTGTGTGGGGACACTTTGGTGTGGTAGGTTGGGGTCCAGGGTGAGTTTGCTCCTGTTTCGATCTTCTGCTGCATGTGTCTTTGTCAACCCAGGACACTGCTCAAATTTCTGAGTCTGCAGGAGGGATCAACAGCTCAGGTGTCTTGGGTTGAACTCTTCTCGATGACACTATGATATTGGACATCTTCCTATGTGCTGTATGTCTCTTCAGAAGGGCTGCAGCAAGGTGTGTCAGCAGCTAACAAAGTGCTCATGCACTCATGAGTTGGAGAAATGCGGAAGGTCCAGACCGTGCAGTGAACATTGCCATGGTGTCATCATCCTGCTGGGCATGTGGTTGGTGAGACAGCAGCAACCCTGCCATGAAAATATGGTATTTTATAGGCTGAGAGTGACCAAAGGTGGCTGCCAAACTGCAGAGATAGGAAGCAAAGCTTCTTGGCAAAGGTAAAACAGCAGCAACATGTTGTGAGAAGCTCTTTCCCGTGGCAATTGCAGAGCACAGGATGGACGTACTGACTTTGAGGAGGACGATATCATTAACACAGGAGACACGAGGTTGTAGAGATAGAGGTAGAGCATAATTTTCAAAATCTGGGGGGGAAATGTCACTGTTTCCAAAACCATGTTGACCTCCATGTGTCAATCACTAGGTGTATCACTGTGGCCCTCTGTGTCCTGCACCACGTTTGCAAAGCTGCCTGCTGGTATCTCCCAGATGCAGGGGACAGATACACAAATGGACCAACATCCTTGTGATTCACGTGGCTGGAAAAAGCTTTGACAAAAAATGCTGACCCAAGATGAGAGGAGATATAACGAACTAGGGAAAACATACATGTGTGCTGACCTCCTTATGCTGGATATTGTGATTTTAATAAGTGATCTGTTGCTAATGCATGTTCGAGTTGTACTCTCATAAAGCATGTTGAACTAGCATGTTCCAGTTTTTCTAATTTTTTGGGGAGGTAGATCTCAGCACGGGAGCTAGAAACTTACAAGGAGTAATTTGAAAAATTAATTTTAAGATTGTCTTTGGAAAAAAAAAGGCTTTATTTAGCACTCTCTATCAGATCTTACAGTCTTTGGGACTGAGTTGTCATTTTATTGGCTTGAAGTTTGCAGCTTCAGCCACTTCGTACTGAATTTTGTTATGTTTCTGCATATGTGCAAGTGAAAGCAGTAGACAAAGTGCAGGCAAAACTTGTAATGTGTGATGGCAGTGTATTTTCCTCAACTTCAGAATGAAGCTTACAATAGGAGCTGTTGTTCATATTATGATTAATTTAATTATGATGCTGGAAAAGAAATGGCAGAATGGAAACATCACTCTTGAGTGTCCCCCATCTGTGTCACCTCTCTTGTTCTTTCCTCTTTTGCTTGGAGCAGTACCATAAGGATACAAGAGTGTTTCGATTCTGGGCTGGAGGTCTCACTGTCTCTTATTTTTTTCCTCTGTGAGCCACCTGATTTTTTGTTTGTTTGTTTGTTTGTTTTGTTTTTATCAGGGGTTTTTTGTGGGGTTTTTTTGTATATTTTGTGTGGTTTTGGGGTTTTTTGTTTTGTTTGGGTTTTTTTTTTTTGCTTTTTCCACAGGGAGTGATACCTCCAGAAATATTTTGTTTTCCCCTAGATTATAAAAACGACCCAGTTTCTAGAGAATCACTGACATCATCATGTTCCCAGTAGCAGAAATTCTACAAAAGGAGGAAAGGGAGCAGCTGTGGTCGGGCGGTTGCAGAGGGATGGATGCTGTGCTGTGTTTGTATCTCTCTGGAGCCCTGCCAGTCCCTGCTCAGGGGATGCACAGAGCTGCAGACCTCCATGGGACTCCCTAGTGCTCTCAAGTTTTATTTTGAAAAGGTGTTCTGTAGTTTTTAAATTTAATTTTTTTAAAAACTCTCCCTTTCCACAATCTCTTTCCATGAGTCTTTTCTCATTTTTTCTGCCTGCTTTTCTTACTGCACCAACAACAACAGTTCCTTGAACCCTGTGGGCTTGCTCATCTCCATGGTATCATCCATGGGGCAGTTATCTGTTTTTTTTCCCTGCAGCAACATCCTTGTGCTCCTTGTGCTGACTAGGCTGGCCGGCACTTAGTATGTCTGAACATAGAGGAATCTGATCCACTTTTTAGCTTTGTTTATTGTATTTAGAAATCCAGCCATATTAATGCCTTAGTCGAAAACCATAGCTTGCAACTTTTCATTTTTTTAGTATGTTGCCCATTGTCAGTTTTAAGCCTGGCTGTCTCAAGTTGTTAATTTACAACAAGTGATCGTCTCCTGGTAAATTATTTTTCCTACTGTGTTCTTAATTTTTGCTTTTCACCAATATTAAATTACTTTATGAAAGAACATTGCAGGACAAAGATAGCCTTTTTTTTTTTTTGAGGTCAGCTCAGCCAGTTCAAGCTGTTTTGGAAAGCTTCCACTGAAAAACAAAAGTGGCATTCCAGTGTTGTGGTCTTAATTCCCTTGATTTCTGAAGAAGATGATACTTGCTCCTATGCTGCATTTTAATTAGCTGAGTAGATTCAAGGGACAAGTATCTTATGGAGACCACACCTGCAAAAT